TTTGGTTATCTTAGCCTAACATTGTCATATTTATCACGAAGTATTAAATAAATTATAAGAAGGAAAAAAACAAAAAACTAAAAAAACAGAATAAAAACAACAAAAATCTACTTTAAAGGAAAAAAACAAATTGTTGATCTTATTTAAATTTAATTTAAATAAGATCAATTTTTATATATCAAAATAAGAACAAAAATTAAAACAACTGAATAATCAATTTTGAGGCAAATAGACCAAAGATTTATGCTTGGCATCTTAAAAAACCCAAGTACAGTACATGTTTTTGTGCTTACTTAAAATGTGATGCTTGGATGGTACAGAATGGTGCAATCTTTTTGGTCAAATAGATAAAAACTGATGATTTTCAGCTGAAAATAGTCATTGATTTCCATCAACATGAGAAGGTAAATCAAGACATCCAAATTTTTCTAATGTTAAGTCTGATAAACTGTTCATAGTCAAATATCAAATGATAATCAACCAATCAAATTTTGCAAAAAAAATGGGCCAAATATTTAAACTCAGCACCCTCAAAAACCTCTAAAAACATATTTTGTGCTTGTTGGTAATTTTGTGTTAAGTAATTTTCCTATTTGAATGCCACCATCCATCCTGCTTGCCAGACAGAAAAGGGGATTGTTACAGGCAGAGGGTTAAACATTAATATAAATGAACAATAGAATTAGATCAAAATGTTACATATTCTTCCATTTATAAGCTACAATATGATTCAATAGGAATATTCATAATGAGAGGCATTTTTCACTGTTAGAAGAGAAGTGTTCTAAGAAAGCTATAAACTGAAATTCTACAAAATGATTTGCAATCCTTATTTTATCTTTGTTGGGCTACTTCATTGCTTGATATCATCCTTTTTGAGGAATTCTTTCACTCATTTTTTAAATCACTCCCTCTATCAGTAAGTTTTAACAATTTGAACAATGAACTGACGTTTTCCATTAACCTGTCCTACATTGTTCCCGAAAATATTCTTGTTGACCTCATTGACCTGCGTGGGCGATCCCAAATATTTTTGTGTTTACATCGGAACATTTTTGATACTAGATGTCGCTATGCGTCACAATTTTTATATTAAAATGAACTTTTAAAATATAATTTTTTTTGTTTCTATATTATTCAATATATTTATTTTGTTTGTGAAACAAAAAAAAAACTCTAACCTTACATGATATTGAAACACAAAACATTGTGCAAAGATATTCCAACAGGAGTAGGTGTTCATTGTACCCTAGCATCATGGATGACCAATGACCTGGTACTGAACTGGTTAATTAAAAAAATAAAGAACCCAAAATTGGGAGTTGCCTTATATTTGTGCCAGTACAGTAATCAAATTATATCTCACCAAGTATTTTTAAGTGAAATATTTAAAATATTTATATAAGATCAATAATCTCTAAGATATATTGTATAAGATATTAAAAATATTTTATAAATTATATAAAGTACTTCTAATTTATAAATAAATTCACATTTCTTAAGAAGTATAAAATAATATTAAATTTTATTCTAAATATATTTGGATGATTACTTTGAACATAGAATACATAAGTGTAAAAGTGTCTCAATATGCATATGATAAATCAAATAATCTCAAAATAAATAAATTAAAATTCTAGCATTTTAATTAATGGAACAGGTTTAAAATAAAGTAAAAATAGTATTATCATCTTCCTTAATTACAGGGTAGCTGTATTATTATTAGTTTTAACTTTATAATCCTTTTATATCAGGTATTGTATTCCTTTTATAATCCTGTAATCCTTTTATGAAAGCATATACAAATTATATGGCACTGAAGAGGGATTGAGCATTTACATAAGCCCAAAATGCATATGTAGAAGAGAAAATTGAATAATAAATTGTATATGGTTAAACCATTGTATATTTGTTTGCTGTATGAAATACTATACCTAATATAAAGAATTATAGAGTTAAAAATAACAGTAAAATTAATTTGTAAAAATTGAATCCTGATTATTATTGGGCTGCAATTTGAAAAAATTGTAGACCTATAAATTCCTACTGTTGTCTGTCCATCTGTCTTTCCTTAATCTTGAGAACAGAGTTAGATAGATGAAAGACGAGACCAGGTATAGAAACCTTGGAAGCAGAAGGCCCCAATTAACTGTATACAAAATTCCGATGCAAACTGAAAGTCATGTTATTTCAATTCAAAAATTTAAAAATATGATTAGATTTCAGCATGGTATCATCTTGAAATGTCATCAATTTTAAATGAAAGTATCTCCACGTAAGATTCTTAAATTGAATCAAATAACAGTTATCTTAATCAAATGGTGCTAATANATGAAAATACATATAAAATAAAACATGATTTGTACTAAATCAGTGATGTCCAACCCACGGCCCACTCAATGTTTTTGTGTGGTCCTTTTAATCAGTCTTTTACGACAACAAATATTTTTAAATTGGTGTTTTGGTATAACGAAATTATTTTTCCTTAAATTTGCCATATATGTGTAATAAATGTCAAACAATAGACATATTCTTAAGTTACAGTCTTCTGTGTTTCCAATAAATGATAAAAAATTTTATTGTTTTCTTTAAATTCTTTGAAAATAAGCCTAATAAAATTCCAATTAGAATTAAACATTTACACGCACATATAGATTTAAAATTTCAAATCATTCGTTCAAGACTGCACATTATTGTGAACGTGCAGCCCAAGTTTATTACTTCCAAATGTTTTTGGTCATGTTAAATGACCTTTCTAAAGAAAAATAAAAATTAAAATAAAAAACAAGGTTAAAAAAGAGTGTAAAAATCGAACGCTTGGTACAAATGCAAAAAACAAACATGCTTTTCGAATATTTTTGAATTATATTCTGTTGCAACTTATGTATGCCATCTTTAACCTTGCAACCGGAAGTATAAACAGCATAAAATTACAGAAAATTAAATTACAATCTAAAAAAATAAGTACAGAGAGTTACCACCCCTGATCACCATTTTCACATAAATGCATTGTTTTATGTATATGGATGCATAGTATCTTTTTCTTTCTATTATTAAGGTTTATATTAAGCTAGAGAACCATGCTGCCGATACTTTTGTAAATTCTCGAAAATTGATTGCGAGGCCTATATAAGGATGAAGCAGACAGAAACACACTCCCCAGTGTCTATAAAATCCCTGTTATGGATTCATGGCGACATAATAAATTAATGTATATAGGTATAAGATCTATCAAAGCCAAGGTTAGCAGAACACCAAGGAAATATAAGAAAGGAGCAACCGTGCACTGTGCTGTTTTAGCGGACCCACAAGATGTCAAAGCTGAATGGGACCAAGCAAGTGTATTGCAAGTGGTTCAAGACCATAAGCACCGGCACTACGTGGAAACTTGGCAGATTTGTAAAGCAAACCATATAGGCCTCACAATCAATTTTCGAGAATTTACAAAAGTATCGGCAGCATGGTTCTCTAGCTTTAATATAAACCTTAATAATAGAAAGAAAAAGATACTATGCATCCATATACATAAAACAATGCATTTATGTGAAAATGGTGATCAGGGGTGGTAACTCTCTGTACTTATTTTTTTAGATTGTAATTTAATTTTCTGTAATTTTATGCTGTTTATACTTCCGGTTGCAAGGTTAAAGATGACGTACATAAGTTGCAACAGAATATAATTCAAAAATATTCGAAAAGCATGTTCGTTTTTTGCATTTGTACCAAGCGTTCGATTTTTACACTCTTTTTTAACCTTGTTTTTTATTTTAATTTTTCTTTTTCTTGAGAAAGGTCATTTAACATGACCAAAAACATTTGGAAGTAATAAACTTGGGCTGCATGTTCACAAGGTGTCATAGTAAGTCTTTTAGTTTCGTCTTTAGATTGTTAATGTGTTTAATTATGTTTTACCATGCAAGTTATTTGATTATATTCAACCACTAAGGAGCACTTCATGTAAAGGTTATGTTCTGTAGGTCATTTCAAAATCAGATGACTGTTAGTTACTTGTTTTCTTTTCTTTGACCTGGCAGCTATTTTTAATAAAGTTATTCTCTTTAGCTATCTCTGCTAATTAAGTCACGGAAAATGCTTAAAAAATTTTGGAAACTGAGAAAAGAAATTTAAATTTTTATGAATGAAAAAGACCAGAATATTCCTAAATTATATGATGGACAGTGGTTTTTAGATTTATGTTTCCTTCCAAATATCACAATGAAATTAAACAAACTTAATAAGCAGCTTCAAGGTGAAAAGAAATTGATCACATGCTGTTATCAAAATATAAAAGCATTTATAGCAAAACTCAAACTTTATGAAAATCAGTTAAAATCAAAAACTACAATTCATTATCTGAAATTACATAAATTCAATAGTGACAAAAACATTTTTCTAAATATGCACAAGAAACTACTAATTTACTAAGTGAATTTCAAGACGGATTTTCATATTTAAAAATTTATGAGAATATATTTAATATTTTCTTATGACCATTTGACATTGTTGTGGAACAAGCGCCAACAAATTTGAGGATAGATTTGATAGATCTCCATTCTTCTTCTAAATTGAAATATATGTTTGAGGCAATTAACAAAGTTCAGTTTTATACAAAATATGTCTGCAATGATAAATTCCCTAACCTAAAAAAAATGCAATGAGCATTACAACTGCAATGAAAATCACCTATCTTTGTGAATCATTTTTCTCAAAATTGAAGATTGTTAAATGTAAGTCATAATAGATTGACCGATAAAAATTAAAAAAACCAATTATGTTGTACATCATCAAAAATACCTGTTGATATTAAAAAATTAAGTGAAAAAATTGAAAAGCAAGTTTCACATTAGAATACATACAAAATACTGTATAATTGTACATGTTTTGTTGTAAATAAATATGTGCAGCCACATTGTATTTTTATTTTTGTTTTTGGCCCAGTAAACAATTTCGGTTGGAAAACACTGTACTAAATCATCATCACATTGGTTATACTAAATTATTTACCTGTCTATAATCTGTTCTATAGTTTTCAATTTTTTCATCATATATTTTGGATCTGACGGTAAAACCATTATTATTCTTCCATCAGAAAACTCTCCAAGAACACGTTCTTTTTTCCATCCCTGAAATAAAATAATTACAACTTTTGAAATTAAGTAATATTAAAATTTCTATTACAGCAACGCATTTTACAATGTTCCTTTTAATATTATACTTACTAGAAAATTTAATTTTGCCAAATAGGAATTGTGATATTTTTTGTGTGTTCTTTCATCATCTTGATCACCAGAAGTGTATAACATATTGCAGGAAGGACAATGTTTTGCTCCTAATTCTTTCTGCCCTGCGTCAATTATTAATTGAGATGTGTTTTTATCTTTTGAATAAAATTTTGAGGCTGTCTTTGGACTACTTTTTTGTTTTTCTTTTAAGTTGTCTGCTGAACTAAATTAAGAAATTCAAATTACTTCAATACTTCATTAAATTTAATTAATAATCAATAAAAATAAACAGATATAAACTTATGACCCAAAAATGTTTTATAAAATAATACAACAAAGCAATAATATGTTCTTATTTTTAATCCAAAGAATTCATTGATGATTTTTCTTTATCATCAATTTTAAAAATCAACTAGATTCAGACAGCAGCTGTGACTTATATCTCTATTACTACACGCCATGCTTTCATATAAAATTGCAATAACTACATGCTTCTTCTGGAATTCTACAAAATTTTCTATAATCTAAGCACTTTTTAAGATGAATGAGATGTCTAAAATTGCTTAGATTATAAAAAAATTCATAAAATTCAAGAAGCAGCTTGTAGTTATTGCAATTTTATATGACTTTTACATTATAACAGCAAGCACAAAAGAAAAAAGACATTGATACCACAGAGAACTCCACAGTATTAATGCCTTTGTAAAACTGCTGTTACCAAGCTTATCTTATAAAATTGAAATTCAAAGTTCATAGAATAGTTAAATTATGACAATAAAATTTCAGAAAAATAAAATTTTTTATTCAAAATACCTATTTTCATTGACTAATGTTTCTGGCAAAATTTTTTTCCATTTGTTTACAACTTGATTTGAATTTCTGCCCTTTCTGTAAAGAAAATAAAATATTAAATTTGCCAAGCCATCAAATTCAATATAAAATATATAAATTTTAAATTTCACAGTATAGTGGAACCTGGTTAACTTGAACAGAGATAACTCAAAGTCATTTTCTTTCCCCAGTCATTTAGCAAAAAGATTTACATGTTAAATCAAACTGATTAACTTAAATTTTTCAAACTGTTTATCTTGAAAAGAGTTTTAATATGGTATTTTTCATAAACTCTCCAGAATTATAATTTAAATAAAATAATTAATGTTCATCCATTGAATAAACTAATCAGAAACTTTCTATAGAGCATGGGAACCATGTATGACTGAAAATAAACATCATGTCATGTGATGGCAGGCAGGGGGTGGTGGCTTCTAGACAGTGTATGACCTGGATATGTTACATGTGTGACAATGCCGAAGGGCCTCCCTATACTTCGGCACCACAGGACTGAATGGTTGACATCGCGTCGGCGAAGATCGCAATGACAAATTTTGTCAGGACTGACACCACTGTGTCTTCACGGACAGACACAGAAACCGTTATGTTCTCGCACAAACGATAGCGTGTGTGAGCAAATGGATTCGGGATGGAGTGAGAGACAGCATACCGGAAGGGACTCACGCAAAGACTAGGTCAACAAAACAACGTTTATTTGTAAAGATATAAAACATTGAATTACAATATGAGAGTATCCCGATTGGGATTAAAATAGGTAAACCAGGATGAACTTAATCTAATTTCACAGTATGAAGAGAGAGAGAGAGAGAGAGAGAGAGTTTACAGTAGTTCACGCATTGCTAAATACCTGGAGAAGCGAATGTCCACATTCTTCTTCTTGTTGGGAAAGGTTATCTAAGGTTTCTGCACAAAATTATCCAATGTCCAGAGTGAGATATCCAATTCGGCACTGATACTGTTAATTATGGAGGGAAAAATCCGGGAAGATGGCACTTCTCGAAGACTGGGCAACGACTGCCTATTTCGGCCACCGATTTTGATATCTGTCTGTTCTCGTTCGACCTAAAGGTCAAAAGATTGCGGGAGTGCGTTGTTTTCATCGTCAGGAATGTGTAAGTGGAGATTTTATCAGGGAGCTGAGGACAACAATTGGTGAGCATGTATGATGTCGTTGTCAATTAAAATTGGTTCGTTAGAGTAAAATTAAAATGAGTTAAAGTTGGATTCTCACACATGTAACTGCCATTCAAGTCTGCATTTTTCACCAACTTTTATTGTTTTGTATGATTGTTAAAAGATTTTTTGACTAGCAGGTATAATAAGTAAATGGGGTTTTTGATAAATTAATAATAAGAATTTAAAAAAAATTATAGTATGATTCTATGTAAAAAACTTTAAAAACTGTAAAAAAGCTTTTGTGGAAAAATTTTAAAAATACAATAGTCATAACAAGTAGTACATTTGTGATAAAAAATAAAAAGACATATCAATTCTAGGCATGAAATATTGTAATTTAAAAAAATCCTTACAAAACACTTAGAAGTGAACAGATCAACTATTTAGGAAAATATTTCTCATTAGTTTATTTAGTGCTTTAATTTGAGTTTCTGGAGAACACAGAGGTTTACCCTAATACAATGATTCTATGTAATAAAATCCACAGAAATATATGGATAGTTTATTATGGGTTACCAATAAACAAAATCTTGATTTTTACTGAAACCTCCACAAATCAAAACTCCAAATTTTCCTCACCAACCAATTCAAGTTAACTAGATTCTACTGTATTCATAAAACACAATATAAGGTATATATCAGGTCAGTCCATAAGTTCTTGCAAATTTTTATGACCTTGAGAAAAATCTTGTTTTCTTGTTAAAAACACAAGTGTAATAAGATACTTTTTACACTAAAGTGTTAAATTGGATCTCATTTGTTTAATACTGTTAAGAATTAGTAACATTTTAGTTGTTTATTTTGATTAAAATGAAGTAACTGACAAAGATAAAAGATGTGTTTTATATCAGAAAGCAGAATCTCTTGCAACATGACAATGCCAGACCACATGCTGCAAAAATAACTAGGCCTGTACAGAAACTTGAAAGCTACAACTGGGAAATTTTACCTCATCCATCATATTTGCCAGATATTACTCCCTGTGATTATCAACTTTTTTATGGTTTGTAGAACTTTTTAAAAGGGTTTGAGGATGAGAATAATGGCAAAAATGCCATTTCTGAATAATTTGATTCAAATCCAAAGTCAATTTATGAAGACAGGATTAAAAAGCTACCATCAAGATGGCAAGACATTAAACAAAATAATGGTGAATATATTATATTATAGATTGAAATAAAATTTAAAACATTTTTTCAGTAGATAAAAATATGTACTGACTATATATGTACAGTACAAGGTACATTCCATAAGTAATGCGACCAATTTTTTCATGATGCGACAATACTAGCTAGTTTTAACCTGCTGCGCTAGGTGGCGTGGGGTGTTAGCTTCTAAACTCACCCTGTCTCATAAGTAGTGTTACCACCTGTCTGGTTTTCAGTCCGGGAATTGACTTACTGTCCAGGTGAACTATTAATTTTGTCTGGGAATGTCATAGGAATTGTGAAATTACGATGAAACAAAGTTCTTGCAAATATTTTTACTAATTTACACTATTTTAACAGCGAAAGAACTCACACTCACTGAAACTCATCTGCAATTCTGCCATGTTAGTCTGTTTACGCCGACGTATGGTATGCAATCTGTCGACCTATTTTTTTCCTTTTGTTTGGGCGAGGACGTTCGTTCTCGTGAACCCTGTTTTGAGTTAATGTAACATGGTGTAATGGATCACTTTGTGGAGCAACGTTACACTATCAAATTTTGAAGGCATTGTGGCTTGGCATGTTGTGATGAAGTTTCCACTTGAGAAGTCCCCACTGAAACCTTTATATTAATTCAGCAGACCTTTGGGGATGATTGCTTGTCCAAATCACAAGTTTTCTGATGGCACAAGTTGTTCAAGGATGGCCAAGAAGAGGTCACCTTGGAGGAACTCCACAGTGGATGTCCATCAACCTCCCAAATAGACAAAAATGTGATGTGTGTGCATGATTATTTTGAACTCTGACCGATGATTGAGCCTTCAATTGATAGCAGACACTCTAAACATGATGAAAACAACTGTTCATTGCATTGTGACCAAAGATTTAAACACGAAAAAGGTGTGTGCCAAACTGGTCCCAAAAGTGTTGACCAATGAACAAAAAGACATGACAGTGCTCCAGTGCCAAGAGCTCATGGAAATGTATGAAAATGGTTCTAATTTTTTAAACTCAGTTATCACCGGTGATGAGTCATGGATTTTTGAGTATGACCCTGAGACAAAAAGGCAGAGTTTGGAGTGGCACACTCCACCCCAAGAAGGCACGCATGAGCAAGTCCAGGATCAAAACCATGCTCATTGTCTTCTTTGACGTCAGAGGCATTATCCACCATGAATTCGTACTTGCCAGGACTACTGTGAATGCAGCTTTCTACTTTTAAGTACTCAAAAGACTGAAAAGGAGGGTTGCGCACTGCCGAAGCAACATCAAGGACACGTAGAAACTTCATCACAACAACGTGCCAAACCACAGCACCTATATTGTCAACTATTTCCTGGCCAAGACCCATACCCCATTGGTTCCTCAGCCTCCCTACAGTCCTAACCTGGCTCCTGCTGACTTTTTTTGTTTCCTTGCTTAAAAGGGGTCATGAAAGGGAAACATTGGGACATGAATGAAAACATTAAGGCTTATGTTACATCGGCTCTAAAGGATATTCTGGATAAGGCCTTCCAGGCCTGGAAACACTACCTTCACATGTGTATTGACACAGGAGGGTGCTATTTCAAAGATTTTTGACTTATTGTAAGAATTTGTTCAATAAATGATTTTTTATGAATTTGTTCAATAAATGATTTTTTATGAATTTGGTCACATTACTTATGAAACACACCTTGTATATAAAGTTTTTTGAAGTTGATTGAAATGGCAAAAAACAAGATTGTCTTTGGAACAAAGAAAGTCCACTGTAAGGATAACAATTTTCAAATAATCAAGTGTTTTGTAAAAAATATGCTGAAAATTTCAACTGACCCACTCTCAAGATTGACCATTTTTTGTAAGTTTGTCAAAATTGGACCAGCTGCTGATAATTACAAAGGAAACAGTAGTTGATCACAAACAGATTCCTTGCAAACATTGCAGTTGCACAAAAATCATTCTTATACAGCCTGAGAAATCAACTAGGCAATACTTCACAGAATATGATCTTCCTTGGACCAATGTTTGGATAATTTTAACTAAGGATTTGGAAATATGACCATATCATTTGTAGACTTTATAGATGTTATCTGGTGCACACAAAACTGCTAATGTTCATGCTGAAAATGAAAGTTTTGGAACTCAACATTTCCAGTTTAGTAGCATTCAGTGACAATGGAAGACAAGAGTCTTCCATGTAAATGGACATGTGAACAAATGATTGTGTCTTCTTGAGCACTAAGGATTCTATCATGCACAAGCACCAGAAAACAGTTCAAGGTAAATGTCTGGTGTGCAGTCACTATATCAATAGTAGTAGGGCTATTTTTTTTTCTGAGCAGTCCACGGTTTGGGTTATGACTCTGGCGTACAATGAAGAAATATGCAGATGAAATTGTGTTATTAGTTCTGTTTATCTAAACTTCCACACTAGTGTTAACTTTTTTTTCTGAAAATTTGTTTTGTAGTGCTTGCCCAGCAAAATCCAGCAATTTTTTCAAGTCACATTTCTGTTACTAATTTAAATAAACAAATTTAGTCTAAAGATAAACAATGTCATCTTAGAAAAGTTTAACTTTATAACAAATAATTTAATAACATTTGTAGAAAAGATCACTCAGAGTGATTCAAACAGTTTTCTTTAGTACATTACTGATTACAAATCTAATCTTAGAAAATAAATAATGAATTAAAATCTTGAGACATCAAAGCACTACCTCAATTCATTCAATTAATTAAATTTGCAGCAGAAATATAACCTGGAAAAAATCTGAGATTTTATGAACATTTGTTATTTTTCATGTATATTTAGATTTTAATCTAATTTAACTTAAGTAAAAAAAAAATTATTCTTATTGGAGTCAAATAGAAAGACTGACCTATCTACTTCATAAGTTTCATCTTTCACGCTTCACATCAAGAAAACCTAGAAAATGGTCAGCTTGTCAGCCAGGAGGAAACCTGGGCCAATTCATCATCATTTATCTACTCATTGCTACTGATCAGGCCAATTAACAATTAATGTTCATTCCTGACCAATGGATGGCTAGAAATTATCACTCTTTGCCTTCAGTATACTTATATAGCAAAGTATATACAGTAGAGCGTCGTTTATCCGAATCAATTGAGGACTGGGGTTGTTCGGAAAATCAATGGGGTTGTTCGGATAACCGATTATGTACGAAAAAACATATTAACCTATCGCATGTTGAAATTTTTCTCCGTTGCGTGTCGCTTAGCGTTGAATTTTCGTCAATGTTAAGCCTAACGAAGACTATTGTATCGTTAAAAATTATTATTTTATTTTGTACAAACAAAATAAATATATT